CTTGCCTCAGCCTCCCTAGTAGCTGGGATTTCAGGCGTGTGCCACCACGCCCGGCTAATTTTGTATTTTTAGTGGAGATGGGGTTTCTCCATGTTAGTCAGGCTGATTTCGAACTCCCAACCTCAGGTGATCCTCCCGCCTCGGCTTCCCAAAGCGCTGGGATTGCAGGTGTGAGCCACCATGCCCGGTCTCTACTTTTATGTATGTTTGAATTTTTTCCTAATAGAAAGTTCCTTTAAATGTTTTTGAGCATTTGTATATGACAAGGTAATATTTCTTAAATATAGGTAGGCAAACATATTTTTTTTTTTGAGATGAAATTTTGCTCCTGTTGCCCAGGCTGGGGGTGCAATGGTGCGATCTCGGCTCACTGCAACCTCCACCTCCTGGGTTCAAGCGATTCTCCTGCCTCGGCCTCCCGAGCAGCTGAGATTACAGGCATGCGCCACCACGCCCGGCTAATTTTGTATTTTTAGCGGAGACGGGGTTTCTCCATGTTGGTCAGGCTGGTCTCGAACTCCTGACCTCAGGTGATCTGCCCGTCTCAGCTTCCCAAAGTGCTAGGATTACAGGCGTGAGCCACCTGGCCTGACAGCAAAAACATTCTTTTGTGTGTGTGTGTGAGACGGAGTCTCACTCTGTTGCCCAGACTGGAGTGCAGTGGCGCGATCTTGGTTCAGTGCAACCTCCACCCTCTGGGATTACAGGCACCTGCCACTGCACCCAGCTAATTTTTTTTTTTTTTTTTTTTTTTGTATTTTTAGGAGAGATGGGGTTTCACCATCTTGGCCAGGCTGGTCTTGAACTCCTGATCTTGTGATCCACCTGCCTTGGCGTCCCAAAGCACTGGGGTTACAGGCGTGAGCCACTGCGCCCGGCCACAGCAAAAACATTTTAAATCACCTGTAACTCTGTGGTTACCCAGAGTAACCACCAGTGACTTTATAGTGTAAATGCCAAAATAAACTTTATATTTTTTTCCCATATGTGTCACTGTCTCCATGCTAATAAACAGGGATCGCTATTCTCACCTCCCAGTAAGTATGGAAATAAGTAAATAAATAAACAACACTAGGAGGCCAGATCTCACTATGTGTCCCAGGCCGGTCTCAAATTCTTGGGCTCAAGTGATCCTCTCACCTCAGCCTCCTAAGTAGCTGGAACTATAGGGCTGTGCTGCCACACCTGGATTAACACAATTTTTAAGAGCAGTTTGAGTTTCACAGCTGATAATTTATTTTTAAGACTTGTTTTAATACTTGTCATTCAGTGTGGGACCTGCCTTTTGGATAGTTCTATCCCTGTCTCCACTGGTATTGTAGATTCTGGCATAGAAATGTTGGCCTTGGCAGATGGCAGATAGAGAGCTTCCTCCAGATGGACAGGGCTACGTCTGCTATTCCCTGGGGATGGCTGCTCCACCAAGCCCGCTCACATCACCGAAGCCTGCATTTCCCCTCTGGTCTTGCTGAAACCCAGACACCCAGAGCTCTCCTGCCACCTCCCTGACCAAGCCTACTGAAAAAGAGGCAAATTAGTCTGGGGAGACTTGTTCCTAGCTGTGGCAGACCCCTGTGGTGATGTACCCAATGCCTTATCCATCTTTTTCTTTCCTAGTGTCGGAACCCTGACTTTTATGCCAGGTGCAGTGGCTCACATCTGGACTCCCAGAACCTTAGGAGGCCAAGGTGGAAGGATTGCTAGAGACCACGAGTTCAAGGCCAGTCTGGCCAACATAGCCAGACTCCATCTTTACAAATCATTTACAAAAAAAAAAAAAAAAAAATTAGCCAGGCATTGTGGTGTGTACCTGTAGTTTGTAATCCCAATTACACATGAGGTTGAGGCAGGAGGATCACTTGAACCCAGGAGTTCAAGGCTGCAGTGAGCTGTGATCATGCCATTGCACTCCAGCCTGGGCAACAGAGCAAGACCCTGTCTCTTAAAAATAAAACAAACAGGCCGGGCGCGGTGGCTCAAGCCTGTAATCCCAGCACTTTGGGAGGCCGAGACGGGCGGATCACGAGGTCAGGAGATCGAGACCATCCTGGCGAACACGGTGAAACCCCGTCTCTACTAAAAATACAAAAAACTAGCCGGGCGAGGTGGCGGGCGCCTGTAGTCCCAGCTACTCCGGAGGCTGAGGCAGGAGAATGGCGTAAACCCGGGAGGCGGAGCTTGCAGTGAGCTGAGATCCGGCCACTGCACTCCAGCCTGGGCGACAGAGCCAGACTCCGTCTCAAAAAAAATAAAAATAAAAAAAAAAATAAAACAAACAAATAAAAACCCCTGATTCTTACCGAGGAGGTACTGTGTGCAGCTAAAATAGTCTCCATTTCCCAGCTCTCTTTGCAGCAAAGGATGGGCATGTGACATAGCTCAGGCCAAGGTCCAGATAAGTCCCCAGGGTGGATGTCCCTTCCGAACATCAAAAAGGCAAAACCTTTCCCCCCTTCTGCCTACCTGGAATCCCCGTATTTTCTTATTTCATCCTCACAGTAGGTACATGGAGAAGGCATCATCCTCATTTTACAGGTGAGGAAACTGATGTTCAGAGAAGCGAACTGACTTTCTCAAGGTTGCAAGGCTCAGTTAGCTCTTCCATGAAAACTGAAGTGGCCAACTCACTGCATTGAAATTAATTGGCCTGGCCGGGCACGGTGGCTCATGCCTGTAATCCCAGCACTTTGGCAGGCCGAGGCAGGCAGATCACCTGAGGTTGGGAGTTTGAGATCAGTCTGATCAACATGGAGAAACCCCATCTCTACTAAAAATTTAAAATTAACCAGGCATGGTGGCTCATGCCTGTAATCCCAGCTACTGAGGAGGCTGAAGCAGGAGGATCTCTTGAACCCGGGAGGCAGAGGTCGCAGTGGGCCGAGATCACGCCACTACACTCCAGCCTGGGCAACAAGAGCGAAACTCTGTCAAAAAAAAAAAAAAAAGGAAGAGGGGGGGGGGGAGGGGGGGAGGGAGGAAGGAAGGAAGGAAGGAAGGAAGGAAGGAAGGAAGGAAGGAAGGAAGGAAGGAAGGGGAATTAACTGGCTTTAAGTTTCCCATTTTGGCCAGGCTGCCAGGAAGCTGAGGGCTTACTGTGAAGCTCAAATCTAGCACTGCCCCTTAGCATGGGGACTTAGCTCTCTCCTTTCCCTTGTCCTCAGCACCTGTCATGAGGCTTGAGAGAGCAGTCGTTTTCTGTGGGGTGCCTCTGGCCCTCTTTTGGAAAGCTGGGGTGGGGGAAATGGTGTCCATGTGGCAGTTATCTGTCTTCATTGGCTTCTCCAGACCTCTCTACTCGGCGCTGGGCGGTGGGAGATGACAGGAATGGACGTGAATGGGCTCTGGTTTCTGCTTGGGCTGGGCCAGTAGGGAGCTCTGGTAGGAGGGAGCCCGCTCACAGCCTCCCCTTGTCCAAAAGCCTCATCCACAGGGTCTTGCCCCAGGGAGCACCCCACTCCTCCCAGTATCAGGCCAGAGGTCATATCACTATAAATAGCCCAGCGCCCTGTCCTATCCCTTGCTTTTTCCTATACATGCCCACACCTTTGTAAACTGTCCCCTTACCACAGTCTCCTCAAATCACCCAATTCAAGTGTTGCCTGCCAGGGTCCTGAACACGGAGCACATATAAACGGCATTGTTGGCCGGGGACAGTGGCTCACGCCTGTAATCACAGTACTTAGGGAGGCTGAGATGGGCGGAGAATCTGAGGTCGGAAGTCCAAGACCAGCCTGGCCAACATGGATAAACCCCATCTCTACTAAAAATACAAAAATTAGCCAGGCGTGGTGATGCGTCCCTATAGTCCCAGCTACTGGGGAGCCTGAGGCAGGAGAATCACTTGAACCCAAGAGGTGGAGGTTCTAGTGAGCCGCGATCATGCCATTGCACTCCAGCCTGGGGGATAAGAGTGAAACTCAGTCTCAAAAAAAAAAAAAAAAAAAAAAAAAAAAAGGAGCAGGGGCGTTGTTAAAAGATTTTCGGATCCTCTGGAGCTCTGAAAACTCTGTCCCCTCCCTACTCCCCTGGCTCTAGTCGGCTGAGCTCAGCTGTGCCTCATTCTCTCGTATCTGGACCTTACAGCCAGCCCCTAATTGGAAGCACCTCCCTGTCTCCAGCCCCAGCCCCACGTCCCACCAATCCTCTGTGAATGAGGCCATGGCCTCCCTCCACTGCCCTGAGCTCCAGGCGGGCATAGAAAGAAGGCATCCGGCCGTGGGCAGGTGCACAGGCGCTGCAGGTTCTCAGGTTTGCCGGGTGCATTGTAACCAGCACCCCCTCAGAAAGGAGAATTTGGGGTTGTGGGTGGGGGAACTGTCACATGAGCTGAAGGACAGACCAACGTGATGGGTGAAATGACAGCTGTGCACGGGCATCGTGGAGCATAGCAGGAGGGGCACCCACTCATCCCTGCTGGGGGTGGAGGTCATGGAGCAGGTGTTCCTGGAGTCAGGTCTGAGCCGATCCGAGCAGGTGAACAGTGGAGGCAACCAGACAGCAGGAACAGCATGGACAAAGAACAGGAGGGGGCTGCTGGCTGTCCCGGGCATGGCTGAGGGCAGAGTAGGTGGTAGGGGGAAGACAGAGGGGAGGTGGGCAGGAGCTGGGGTGGGCCCACAGTCGACCAACAAGGGGTCTGGACTCCAGGCCATAAGCCTCAGGGAGCGTTAAGCACAGGGACATCTGCCATATTCACTTTAAGGCTGGACGGGAGGAGAGCCAGCCAGGAGCTTGCCTGTTTGAGAGAGAAACAAGGCCTGGCCTCCAGAAGTGAGGGACTCACCCCCATTCACCTCTTCCCCCGTCCTCGCCCTACAAGCACATATCGGGTTAAATCCACTCCGGCGCCTCCAACACTCCTGGCTCCCCAGCTCGCCTCTTCTAGTTGGTCCCACATGCAAGGCGGCCCTGAGAACCCGCAGGACCCAGCCAAGGAGGGCGCCAGGCCGCGGGGGAAGCCCCTCGACTTTCCCACCCCACTCCCCTAAACAGCCTCCAACGCATCTGTGTTATTTTTATTTTCTTTGCTTTGGTCTATACAAAAAAACCAATAACCAAAAACATAAAGCGATAATAATAAAACACTCTGCTGGGACCTCCCCCAGCCCCCCACACCATGTGCGGGAGATGGGGGGGTCTGAAACAGGAAGGGGAAGAGAAAGCCCCTCACCACACACCAGAGGGGTCAGCCAAGAGCACTTCTCAGGGTCAGCTAGGGCAGCTGTGTGGATGGGACAGGGGTGTGAGGGAGCTGTCCCCAGAGCTCCCCGGGGAGTGAGGGGTGGGCAAAGCCAACTAAGCATCCTGGAGAGAGAAGTCGGCGTCTCCTGGAGCAGGTGATTCACTCCATATCTCCTCCCCATCTCCCCTGGACGGTCCCTGAACTTTTCAAGAGAAGCTTTGGATTTCGGGGGGTTGGGTCTTGAACCTGGGCCCTGGAGACCCTGGGGGCTTAGGGCAGCTGGTCAGTGGAGTTCAGTGAGAAAATCAGACCCAGAGAAGGAACCAAAGCCCTTCCAGGCCCAGGCAGCTGGAGACAGGGAGGCTGGGGGTTTGGGGGGGTTGCTGGGGGGGAAACAGAAAGGGTGCTTGAGTCTGAAGCTTTAGTGGCCAGGGCCACAAGGGCGGGGAGGGGGTGTTAGGCCCTGGACCCATGCCCAGGACAGAAAAGCAGGAGCAGAACATTATCCCAAGAAAGACCCTACGGAGGACCTCTGGAGGCACGGGGTGCAGCAGGAAGTCACGCCCCGGCTTCCCCAGCTCAGGCACTTTTCTGTCTTGCCCCATCGCCTGCACGGAGAGCCTCTCAGATGAGGAACCGCACCTGTTGGGGAAGTGGGGACAGACAGGGGTCAGGGGCTCAGTGGACCTGCATCCACAGAAGCTCATGCCACTCCGTGTCACCTGCCCACCACCCCCAGAAGAGGCCAGCAGGAACAGGACTCCCCACCCCTACCAAGGACACAAGAAGAAGGCAGGCCAGGGCACGCCGTGCTTGGGGAAGCTCAGCAGCAAAGGGTCCCCCCAAAAAAGAAGCACAGGTTTCAGCGGGGAGATGGGAGGGCCTCCAACGGAAGTAGGTTCTAGAGAGGAGGGAAAAGCCTGCAAAGAGGGGGCCGTACTGGGGCCAGGCCACCTAGGCCAGCATGTGGTCTGCAGTGGGGTACGGGGGCCTGAGGCCGTCGCTGTAGGTGTCGATGGGGTAGTCTCCGTCCATGTCCATGTGCATCTCCAGCGGGTCAAGGGGCACGTCGCTGGAGTACATGGGGCGGTAGGTGGCATCCATATCTGGGGACGAAAAGTGGGGTCGGTCCTAGGGTCTGCAAGCCACCCTTCCGGGAGCCGTCTGCACAGCCTTCAGCTGCCTCCTCTACCCACGCCCACCCCTGGTGGGCCTGACCCCCTCCCCAGACCCCACACCAGGGCATCTAGACTGGGGTACATGTGGATGCCACAGAGCAGTTGCCACTGGTCCTCTGGCCCCGGAGACATAATATTGCCCCCTCACACACAGCCACACAGCCACCCAGGATCTCCAGGGTCCTGAAGAGCCTGGCACACACTTACCATCTCCGTAGGGCTCATTGATGGGAATCATGCTCTGGGCCTGAAAAAGGAGAGAGAAACATAGAGGAGAGGTTTGAAAATGCAGGCTCCAAGCTGGATCTCAGCTGGGGGGCAGGGAGAGACGCTTCTAAAAGAAGGGGCTGGGCCGGATGTGGTGGCTCACGCCTGTAATCCCAGCACTCTGGGAGGCGAAGGCAGGCGGATCACTTTGAGGTCAGGAGTTTCAGACCAGCCTAGCCAACATGGTGAAACCCCGTCTCTACTAAAAATACAAAAAAAATAGCTGGGCGTGGTGGCGCACACCTGTAATCCCAGCTACTTGGGAGGCTGAGGCAGGAGAATCGCTTGAACGGGGAGACAGAGGATGCAGTGAGCTGAGACTGCGCCACTGCACTCCAGCCTGGGCCACAGAGCGAGACTCTGTCTTGAAAAAAATAAAAAATAGCCCGGGCACAGTGGCTCACACCTGTAATCCCAGCACTTTGGGAGGCCAAGGCGGGCAGATTACAAGGTCAGGAGATTGAGATCATCCTAGCCAACATGGGGAAACCCCATCTCTACTAAAAATACAAAAATTAGCTGGGTGTGGTAGCATGTGCCTGTAGTTCCAGTTACTCAGGAGGCTAAGGCAGGAGAATTGCTTGAAACCAGGAGGCAGAGGTTGCAGTGAGCCAAGATCACACCACTGCACTCCAGCCTGGCGACAGACCAAGACTCCGTCTCAAAAAATAAATAAATAAATAAATAAATAAATAAAAGAGGGGGCCAGAGAAAAGCAAAGAGGCCTTGGAGGAATACAGGATGATGAAATGGGGTCACCCAGTACCCTGATGTACTCGTGTCCTCAGTACTCCCCAGGGAGGAGGGTTCCCCATTCATGGAGCAGGAACTCCTGCTGGATTAGAGCAGCTCATGGGAGGAGGGCAGGAGGCAGAGGACTCAAGAATGGGTGCAGGGCACTGCTCCACCCTGGAAAAGACCACCTGTAGCCTATCCAGCACCTCCACGCAAATTAGGAAAAGCACCCCCTCCTCAAACACCGTATACTCATTTGGGCAAAATAAAAATTGGCATTGTGTGGACATATGGTTCAACCCACTACTTCCATCTGCTAGGAATTGTTATAAATGATCCAATTACAAAATAAAAATCTGTAAAGTTGACAGTAGTAGGAGACCCCCAAAAGTCAAGTTGCCCTTGGGCAGTGCACAACTTGTGCAACCAACTACTGCGGTCCAGCCTAGGATACTCACAGCCTCCCAGGCAGCCGGGTCATGCTTGAAGAGGGAGTTGGTGAGCTCCACGGACACACGCTTCCGGTAGTCTGGGTTCTTGTCCTCAGAGATGCGGAACAGGACAGCAGCAGCGTAGGTGGCTGAGCAGAGAGGAGAGGAAAAGCCAGGTTAAACGTCTGCCAGCCTCCATCATGGCTGGAGGAGTGGGACCCAGCTGCCCTCTCCCAGCTCACCAGTGCCCTCGTTGCGGGAGTGCAGCAACTCCATGAGTGGGGCCGAGGCCCCCTCTGCATCAATGGCGTCGGCCGCCTCCTTGTCCTGGGCCAGCTCACACAGCACCCCGGCGGCCACGCGCTGGATGTTCTCCACCGATGAGTACAGGAGCTGGGCAGAGGGGACATGGGAAGCAGGGGAGAGGTGGGAAGGGGTGAGGCAGGCCGGACAACACACCCCACAGCCCTGCCCACCTCCACCCTGTAGCAATTCCATAGTGGAAAACGGGCCATCACTGGGGAGTAAGTGTTACTGCTTTAAACTGGGCTGAGCGTTGTTCATGAACTACCTTGAAATTACCTGTGACTCTGCCTCATCTAACCATTGGAATCTAGTGTTAAAGAAGTCACTGACATGAAAGATGTTAAACTCTTGTCTGTTATGGTACTTGCACATATTCTCCCAGTTTGCTGATTTTTTTTTTTAATGCTTTTTTAAGGTTCTTTCTGAAATAGATGGTTTTCACGTTTATGTGGTTGAATCTCAAGTTTTTTTTGTTTTTGTTTTTTCCATTTGTGATCTCTTTCCTTGCTTTGAAGCTTAGAAAGCCATGCCTGTGCAGGGGGTTGCTAAGTAGTCAATCTGGTGTGGCCACTTTCCTCCAAACTCCTCCAAAGACCTCTTGATGCCTGGTCCAGGCCCCCAAAATCTGGGACTCCTAACCTTGTCCTCTAAGCAGTGGTGGGGGCACCTCTCCTGCACACCTGCCCCAGACTCACCTGCACAAACAGAGGAATGGTGTTGAGCCGGAAGATCTCCATGCGGTTCATGGGGTCCCGGGCGAGGATGTGCAGGGCTCCGGTGCAGCCCTCCACAATCTCCTCCATCCTCACACCATCCTGCGAGATGAGAGAGGAGGCAGGGGGCATGGGACAGGTGCTGTCAGCCGAATGAACTTCACAGGCTCTTGGAATTGGCATCAGTTGCAACTGACCTCTGCATTCACACACACACCCACAGAGGACACCTGCCCCCCAGGAAGGTTGTCACAGGCACCACCAGCTCACATACCGTGTAGGGCTGCTGTGTGCCTGCAGCTACGTGGCGCTGGGCATCCTGGTGGGCCTTGACCAGCAGTTGGACGAGGCGGGGGATGACCGCTGCCTCCTGCAGCGGGGCATGGTTGGCTGGGCACAGGGCCAGATTCCTGATCAAGCCAATGGTTGCCTGGCAAAAAAAAGCCAATGGTTGCCTGGCAGCGATCAAGGGCACTTCTTGGACATCTGAAGGATCCCAGCTTCCCAGCTTCAGGTATCCCCTCCCTCCTTCACCTCTTCTGTCCCCGAGGCCAGACACAGGCACACTAGAAGATATCCAGAGAAGGAGACCATCCCAGCCATGTCACTTAATCCACAGGATCTGGGGGTGCTCATGGCTAATCCTTTTCTGTTTTTTGTTTTTTTTTTGAGATAGAGTTTCACTCTTGTTACCCAGGCTGGAGTGCAGTGATGCAATCTCACCCCACTGCAACCTCCACCTCCTGGGTTCAAGTGATTCTCCTGCCTCAGCCTCCTGAGTAGCTGCGATTACAGGAGCCCGCAACCACGCCCGGCTAATTTTTTATATTTTTAGTAGAGACGGGGTTTCGCCATGTTGGTCAGGCTGGTCTCAAACTCCTGACCTCAGGTGATCCGCCCGCCTCGGCCTCCCAAAATGCTGGGATTACAAGCGTGAGCTACTGCGCCTGGCCGCTCATGGCTAATTCTAACAGCCTTTGCTAAAATGACACCCCATTCCAGAACATCCTGCCAGCCCCATGCCCAGACCCTCACCCTGTCCCCTCTCTCTTAACCACCCCCCCACAGACACCATGGCCTTGCTTGCTTTTCTGATCGTTCCCCAAGCCTGAATCTCAGGAAGTCTTTGCTCTAGGTGGCCCCGAAGCCTCCTGCTTGGGTGGTGCTCACATTGTCATGAATCCCCAGCAGGGCAGCTCTGGAAGGAGGTGTCCTGAGATTTCCTTCCCAGGGTCCTTGACCCACAGGAGCCACTTTGGCCTCCCAGAGCCTCTCAAGGTGTCATCCGTTTCATCATCAAAACAAGATGCCAGGACGGCAGGGATGAAAATCACAAGATGGGGATGTGAGCACACGGCAAATGACTTGCCAAGGTCACTTGCCACTTAGCTGCTGGGTTAGGATGCAAAGCCCCACCTCAGGTTTGCAGCAGGGACCAAGCATCAAGGAGGAGTCACACTGACTTTTTTTTTTCTAAACATGGATTTTCTTTTTTTTAATTCAATGTATAGGCCAGGAGCAGTGGCTCACGCCTGTAATCCCAGCACTTTGGGAGGCCGAGGCAGGCAGATCACTGTAGGTCAGGAGTTCGAGACCAGCCTGGCCAACATGGTGAAACTACTAAAAATACAGAAATTAGCTGGAAATTGCTTGAACCTGGGAGGCGGAGATTGCAGTGAGCTGAGATCGTGCCACTGCACTCCAGCCTGGGCAACAGAGCAAGACTCCATCTCAAAAATAATAGTAATAAATAATAATAATTCAATGTATAGAATCATTTAGAGTCATTCTTATCTGCACTGTTTTTTTTTTTTTTTGAGACGGAGTCTCACTCTGTCACCAGGCTGGAGTACAGTGGCATGATCTTGGCTCACTGCAAGCTCCGCCTCCCCGGTTTACACCATTCTCCTACTTCAGCCTCCTGAGTAGCTGGGACCACAGACGCCCACCACCACGCCCGGCTAATTTTTTTGTATTTTTTTAGTAGAGACGGGGTTTCACCATGTTAGCCAGGATGGTCTCTATCTCCTGACCTCGTGATACACCCGCCTCTGCCTCCCAAAGTGTGGGGGTTACAGGCGTGAGCCACAGCGCCTGGCCATGTTTTTTGTTTTTGTTTTCCAAGACGGAGTCTCTGTCACCCAGGCTGGATGGAGTGCAATGGAGAGATCTCAGCTGACTGCAACCTCTGCCTTCTGGGTTCAAAGTAATTCTTCTGCCCTGGCCTTCCAAGTAGCTGAGATTACAGGCACAGGCCACCATGGCCAGCTAATTTTTCTATTTTTTGTGGAGGCGGGGACTTACTATGTTGGCAAGGCTGGTCTCAAACTCCTGACATCAGGTAATCCTCCCGCCTCGGCCTCCCAAAGTGCTAGGATTATAGGCGTGAGCCACTGCACCTGGCTTGTCTGTACTATTAAATTGTCTTTTTTTTTTTTTTTTTTTTCTGAGACAGAGTCTCGCTCTGTCTCCCAGGCTGGAGTGCAATGGCCGGATCTCAGTTCACTGCAAGCTCCACCTCCCGGGTTCACGCCATTCTCCTGCCTCAGCCTCCCGAGTAGCTGGGACTACAGGCGCCCGCCACCTCGCCCGGCTAGTTTTTTGTATTTTTTAGTAGAGACGGGGTTTCACCATGTTAGCCAGGATGGTCTTGATCTCCTGACCTCGTGATCCGCCCGTCTCGGCCTCCCAAAGTGCTGGGATTACAGGCTTGAGCCACCGCGCCTGGCCTTAAATTGTCTTAAATGTAGCTAGCGGATGTCCCTGCCAGCTGGTTCCTGTGCCTGTTGACAAGACCCTCATCTATGGTAGCTTCCTCACTCTCTGGCACCAGATGCCACCTTGCCTTTGGCTGCCTTCCTTGTCTCTACATATGGATACACACACATACACATGCCTTCCTCCATAACTGTCCCTTGGGCCTGCCCACCTCCTGGCCCACTCTCACTTCCCCTGCCTGACAGGGAAGTGACACACATCTCTCTTCCACCCAGGTAGCCTCAAGAAGAAGACCCCACCCCTTCACACGCCCAACTCCCTGTGGGAGAGGCTAAGCATCCCCCAGAATCCTCTCTGCCCTGTGTCTCTGTAGGGGCTCTCCTGATTTTCAGCAGGACACACGGCCATCTGGCTGGTGATCACATTTCCTAGCCTCCTTGCACCTTGATGTGGCCGAATGACCAAGTTCTGGGGTGTGAGCAGGAGTGATGCCTGCCACTTTCTGGTGGCCGCTAGCCCTTCCCAGTTCTCAGGGCTAGAACACATCTGTGGGGATGATACAGTCCACTCATTCATGTGAGGACAACTCTCTCGTCTATACCCAGTGGCATAAGAAATGTGCTCCATGGACCAGTAGCAGCACCTGCAAGCTTGTTAGAAATACAGAATTGGGCCGGGCACGGTGGCTCACGCCTGTAATCCTAGCACTTTGAAAGGCCGAGGTGGGTGGATCACCTGAAGTCAGGAGTTCGAGACCAGCCTAACCAACACAGAGAAATCCTGTCTCAACTAAAAAATACAAAATTAGCTGGGCATGGTGGCACATGCCTGTAGACCCAGCTACTTGGGAGGCTGATGCAGGAGAATTGCTTGAACCCGGGAGGCCGAGGTTGCGGTGAGCCGAGATTGTGCTATTGCACTCCAGCCTGGGAAACAAGACCAAAACTCCGTCTCAAAAAAAAAAAAAAAAAGAAAAGAAATACAGAATTGGCCAGGCCGAGATTGTGCTATTGCACTCCAGCCTGGGAAACAGGACCAAAACTCCGTTTCAAAAAAAAAAAAAAAAAAAAAAGAAATACAGAATTGTCCGGGCCCGGTGTCTTACACCTGTAATCCCTGCACTTTGGGAGGCCGAGGCTGGTGGATTGCTTGAGTTCAGGAGTTTGAGACCATTCTGAGCAACGTGGCAAAATCTACTAAAAATACAAAAATTATCCGGACATGGTGGCGTGCACCTATAATCTCAACTACTCAGGAGGCCAAGGCAGGAGAATCGCTTGAACCCGGGAGGTAGAGGTTGCAGTGAGCCAAGATTGTACCACTGCACTCCAGCCTGGGCAATAGACAAAGACATTGTCTCAAAACAATAAAAAAAAGACATATGGAATCGCAGGCCCTCCGCAGCAGGCCTGCTGAATTAGGACCTGCAGTGTGTGTCTGTGTGCGTGTGTGTGTGTGTGTTTGTTTTAGATTGCTTATTTGTTTGTTTTTTTTTGTTTTTCAAATTTTTTGTAAGAGATGGGTGTCTCAATATGTTACCCAGGCTAGTCTCAAACTCCTGGCCTCAAGTGATCCTTCCACGTCTGCCTCCGCCTTTGCCTCCCAAAGTGCTAGAACTACAGATGTCTGCATCTGCACCCAGCCTCCTGTTTTTCTTTTCTTTTAAGACATGGGTTCTTGCTCTGTCACCCAGGCTGAAGTGCACTGATGCAGTCATAGCTCACTGTAACCTCCAATTCCTGTGCTCAAGCGATCCTCCCACCTCAGCCTCTCCTCCCCAGTAGCTGGGACTACAGGTGTGCACCACCACACCCGGCTAATTTTTCCTGTTGTTGTTGAGACAAGTCTTGCTATGTTGTCCAGGCTGGTTTCAAATTCCTGGCCTCAAGCAATCCTCCTACCTTGGCCTCCCAAAGTGCTGGAATTACAGGCATGAGCCACCGTGGAACCTGCACTTTAGTGAAACCGCCCAGGGTACTCATGTGCATTTTGAACTCTGAGCTCTGCCCTAGGGGCTGGTGGAGCTAGAAGATAGAAAGAATCTGGAGAGCAGAGCCATTGTTGAGGTCTAAACTATTACACGAGAGAGAAATAAACTTCTGTCTTATTCAAGCCACTGTATTTAGGGCTTCTTTGCTACAGCAGCTTTGCCTATACCAATACAGCACCTAAGCCGGCTGCAGGGAGCTCCTTCCCCTCGCCTAACAGCAGTACCTTGACCAGTGGCCACTGGTTGGGCTGGTTGAGCAGCTTCACAATGGCTGGGATGCCATAGTTGAGGCGCACAGAGTTCTGGGCCATCTCGGCCTCAGGGTGGCGGCTAGTGAGGTGGCGCAGGGCGCAGACGGCAGGCTCTGTGATGTCGTCCTTGTCACCAGCACGCAGGATGGCATGGATGAGAGCCTCCACACCGCTGTTCTGTGTCACCAGTGTCTTGTTCTTGCTGTTGTTGCAAGTCAGGTTGGAGAGTGTGCCCGTGGCACAGGTGAGGACGTTGACATCATCCACGCTTAGCTGGTTCACCAGAATCTTCAGCACACTCTCCAGGCCCTCCTGGAGGGAAAGGAAGGGATAGGGGAGTCAGGGAGCAGCCAACTCCAGGGAGCCTTCTCGAATATGTCTGAGGGGAGCAGGATGACCTAAAGGGGTCAGCCATGCCTGTGTGTGCCCGGGAACTTTCATCCCCATGACCCGCCACACCCTGTGAGAGGGTGTTACTATCCCGTGGTGCAAGTGAGACAATGAGGCTCAGAGAAGTTGAGGAACTTGCCCACAGACACACAGCCAGTGGTTGGATCTGAACCCAGGCCTGACTCTAAGCCCCACCCACGTCTCTTCCCTCCAACCCATCAGCCTTTCCCTGGGGGCCTCAGACCCAGGCAGAACCCTCCTCAGGCCAAAGTACGGTGTCCAAGGGAGGCCTTGAGACCAGGAGGCAATTGTTGAGGGGGCCACATGTTTCAGTGGCCCAGCTGAGCCACATCTACTCATGTGTCACCTTTCTGGGCCTTCACTGCTGCCCCACCACCCTGGGGCCCTAAGCCAAATCCACTTCCAGTAAAATCACTAACTCAGACGTCTCACTTCTCCCAGGGAGACATGTAGGCCTTGTGGTGGGACAGAAAAACTCCAGCTTTGGGGATGGACAGTCCTTCAAATTCCAGTTCTGCCATTTACTACCTCTGACCATGGCCATTACCTCCCCCAGCCTCAGTGTCTTCATCTTACCCACAGGGTCCCACACTCTAACCCCAGGCTGAACGAGCTAATGTCCACAAATGCCACGCAGAGGGCCAGCAGAGGGTGGGCACTTGATAAACAGCATATTGCTTGGGGAGGCCTGAGGAATGGTTGTTGAAAGGAGGCACAGGGCACTTGCCCTGGAGCTGCATTTTTCCTTAAATTGTATTTTTAGTCATGGGGGTCTATCTCTTGGTAAACTATTGCCCCAGGCCAGGGCCCAGGTCAAAACTGTTCTTTTGCTGGACGCGGCGGCTCACGTCTGTAATCCCAGCACTTTGGGAGGCCAAGGCGGGTGGATCACCTGAGGTCAGGAGTTCGAGACCAGCCTGACCAACATGGTGAAACCCTGTCTCTACTAAAAATACAAAAATTAGCCAGACATGGTGGCTCACTCCTGTAGTCCCAACTGCTCGGGAGGGTGAGGCAAGAGAATCGCTTGAGCCCAGGAGGCAGATCTTGCAGTGAGCGGAGATTGCACCACTGCACTCCAGCCTGGGTGACGAGCGAGACTCTGTCAAAAACAAAAAAAAAAGAGATGAAGGTCTTCAAGGCATTTCCAGCCGCAGCCACAAGGAAGAGAGATTTAGAGCTCCCAGTATCCAGCTCCCAGTATCCAGCCCCCAGTATCCAGCCCCCAGAGATTTAGAGACCACAGTACCTAAGGTCAGATGCCCAGACAGGAGGCTGGACGGGGCAGCTGAAGAGGTCAACCCCAAGCCCAGATACCTCCCTCACCTGCTTTGTGGCCACGTCCGAGAGGTTGCGCAGGGTCCACAGGCAGTTCTGCACCAGGCGGGGGCTGTTGCTGGTCAGGTGCTTGCCCAGGGCCTGCATCCCACCTGGGGCAGGGATAGGGGTGCCATCAGCCACGGGCAGCATGGCTGACTGAGCTTGGCAGCTGGGCAGAGCCCCCATCCCAGCCGCCCTCAAGGCCATTATACTCACCAGCCTCCACAATGGCAGGCTTATTGCTGGGACACACAGACAGCACCTTGAGCACACGACTGGTGGTCCAGAGCAGCTTCTCATAACTGTAGTTACGCATGATCTGCACAAGGGCCTGGGGCCCACTATTGGCCAGGATAATCAGCTGCAGGTGAAGAGGGAATGAGTGTGAGAAGGATGGGAAATATGACAGGAACAAGGAGAAGCAGGGCAGGAGACAGAGCTGTCATTACTGAGCTTCAGCTAATGCACAAATAGTTCGTTTTTTTCTTTTAATGTATTTTTTTCTTTTTATAAAGATGGGGGTCTCGCTATGCTGCCCAGGCTGGTCTTGAACTCCTGGCCTCAAATGATCCTCACACCTCAGCCTCCCAAAGTGCTGGGATTACAGGTGTGAGCCACCACACCCAGTCAAACACCCCAGTAATTTTTTGTTTGTTTGTTTTTTTGAGATAGAGTCTCGCTGTGTCACCCAGGCTGGAAAGCAGTGGCACGATCTCAGCTCACTGCAACCTTCGCCTCCTGGGTTCAAGCAATTCTCATGCCTCAGCCTCCCAAGTGGCTGGGATTACAGGCATGTGCCACCACGCCCGGCTAATTTCTGTATTTTTGGTGGGGATGGGGTTTCACTATGTTGGCCAGGCTGGTTTCAAACTCCTGACCTCAGGCAATTCACCTGCCTCGGCCTCCCAAAGTGCTGGGATTACAGGTGTGAGCCACCACACCCAGCCCACCCCAATAGTTTCATGACTGTTATGTAAGCCAAAATTCTGAAAAAAAGGATAATACCCAGTGCTAACAAGGATGTGACAAAACTATATGCACACCCATTACCAGTTATGGCCCTGGAAATTAGTCCAATCCTTCTGGAAATCAGTCTGGCCATTTGGGTAAAAGCCAGAAGTGTTAAAAATCGATGAGAATTGTTTCCACTCTTTGACAAAGGCTATATGCCCAAAGACATTCGTTAATTTGTTAGACAGCATTGTTTATAAAGGTGGAATAGGAGCAATCTAAATACCCTCCCTCAGAATAAAGCCTAAGGTCTCCACTTAATGAAATGCTATCTGTAGGCTGGGTATGGTGGCTCAAGACTTTAATCCCACTATTTCGGAGGCTGAGACGGGAGGATTCCTTGAGGGTAGCCTGGACATCAGAGCAAGACCCCATCCCCACAAAAAATTTAAAACTTAGCCCAGGTGCTAATTAGCTCAGTGGTACGTTTCTGTAGTCCTAGTTATCAGGAAGGCTAAGGTGGGAGGAATGCTTGAGCTCCGAAGTTTGAGGTTGCAGCGAGCTAGGATCATGCTACCACACTCCAGCCTGGGTAACACAGTGAGACCCTGTCTCAAAAAAGAAAGAAAAGGAAGAAATGGGAAGGAAGAAAGAAAGAGAGGAAGAGAGGAAGAGGGAAAGGAAAAGGAAAAAGAAAGGGGAAAGGGAAAGGAAAGGCAATCTGTCATTATTAGAGGGTAGTTTTGAGGACAATAGAGCAAAAAAAATTTTTTTTTAAACATCATGCAGGCCAGACACAGTGGCTCACACCTGTAATCCTGACACTTTGGGAGGCCAAGGCAGACAGACACTTGAACCCAGGAGTTTGAGACCAGCCTGGGCAATATGGAGAAATCTCACCTTTACAAAAAATTAGTCAGGGGCCCAGTGCGATGGCTCACGCCTGTAATCCCAGCACTTTGGGAGGCCGAGGCAGATGGATCACCTAAGGTCAGGAGTTTGAGACCAGCCTGGCCAACCTGGTGAAACCTTGTCTCTACTAAAAATACAAAAATTAGCTGAGCATAGTGGTGGGCACCTGTAATCCCAGCTACTTGGGAGGCTGAGGCAGGAGAATCACTTGAACCCGGGGAGGCGGAAGTTGCAGTCAGCTGAGATCGCGCCACTGCACTCCAGCCTAGGCGACAGAGTGAGACTCCATCTCAAAAAAAAAAAAAAAGAAGAGAAGAGTAAAAAAGAACTAGTCGGGCATGGTGGCACATGCCTGAAGTCCCAGCTACTCTGGAGGCCGAAATGGGAGGATCATCTGAGCCCAGGAAGTCAAGGTTGCAGTGAGCCCTGATTACACCACTGCACTCCAGCCTAGGTGACAGAGTGAGACCCTGTCTCAAAAAAAAAAAAAAAAAAAAAGCAGGCAGAAAACAGATGCAATGTTGCAGATTGTTATGATGACAAGAATGTGCACACATCTGTCGTCTGCCCACAGAACAGCTCTTCACGGAGCATATCGAAATGACAATGGTGGCTGTATGAGGATGAGTGATTTTTTTTCCTTATACTCAAAATAATAATTCTGCGCAATTCAGTCGCACGATGAAGCATGCACACCTGCCCCTATATCTCATCTAAAAGGAGTAAGGGGCAGCAGCCCGAAGCTGTGGAGGATAGAGGGTGACGCAAGGGTGGGCTTCAGGCCTCAGGAGGGTTGGGGAGGGCCCACCTTGCTCTCCTGGTTGCCGTAGGCCAGGAGCTGCAGGCAGTCGGTGGTGATGGCCAGGAACTTGGGATTGTTCTTGTTGAGCAGGGGCACCATCTTTTGCAGCCCGTCAGCCAGGCGCACGGCCATCTTGGCGCCCTCCTGGTACAGGAGCAGGTTATGCAGCGTGGTGATGGCGTAGAACAGGACCGACTCCACAGGGGAGCTGGGGGGGTGGGCAGGGGTTAGTATGCCGAGGTCCCATGTGAGCCTGGTATGGGTTCCCACCTCCCCCAGGAAGCCTCCCCGCTACTGACACCCCTCTGGAAATATCTATCCCTTTGCTAAAATCTCATCACTCCTTGAGCCTGCCCAGCTCTTAAGCATGAAGCAAACAGCACCTGTCTTCTCCCAACTGAGACAATGACTCCTCCTGCTTCTGAGCCCCCAGCCCTGTGCTGAGCACACAGTAGGTCCCTAGACACTGATCCCTACTAAGTAACTACCATGTGGAAGGCCACATATTAGAGAGGCCTTGCAAGGTGTTCAGAGGGGAATGAAATCAGTGTCTCCCTTTCATGGAGCTCCCAGCCTGGTATAGGGATGAGAAATGAGGCCAGGCGCGGTGGCTCACGTCTGTAATCTCAGCACTTTGGGAGGCCGAGGCGGGGGAGCACCTGAGGTTAGGAGTTCGAGACCAGCCTGGCCAACGTGGCGAAACTCCGTCTCTACTAAAAATACAAAATTGAGTTCGACATGGTGGCAGACACCTGTAATCCCAGCACTTTGGGAGGCCAAGGCGGGCAGATCACCTGAGGTCAGGAGTTCAAGACCAGCCTGGCCAACATGGTGAAACCCCATCTTTACTAAAAATACAAAAATTAGCCAGGCGTGGTGGTGGGCACCTGTAATCCCTGCTACTTGGGAGGCTAAGGCAGGAGAATTGCTTGAACCCGGGAGGCGGAGGTTGCAGTGAGCTGAGACTGCGCCATTGCACTCCAGCCTGGGCAACAAGAGGAAAACTCTGTCTCAAAAAAAAAAAAAAAAAAATTAGCTGGGCATGGTGGCAGACACTTGTAATCCCAGCTACTCAGGAGACTGAGGCAGAAGGAATATTCAAACCTGGGAGGTGGAGGCTGCAGTGAGCTGAGATCATGCCACTGCAGTCCAGCTTGGACGACAGCAAGACCTCATCTCAAAAAAAACGAGAAATGAGACCAATCAACGTTTTGTAGGGGGCCCAGAAACAGAAAGTTTGTAAGGAACTTTGCATTTGCTGTTCTCTCTGCCTGGGACACTCTTCCGTTCCTCCACACTAGCCAAACTCCACTCCTCTGTTAATCCCCTGCCATTAAGCGATTCCACCTCTGAGCAATCTCAATGCTCTTCTGCCACAGCCTGTGTCATATCCTGATCATTAACCTGCTGTTTACATGCCTGTGTTCCCTGCTGGGCTGTGAGCCACTGAGCACCAGGATGGGGTGTGCCTCTGCCTGGCACATGATAGTTGCTCGCTGGGTATTTATGGAAGCCCAGGGAAGGGAGGGGAGAGGCCCAAGTGAGACGGGGTCCTGGACTCCTGCACTGAGCAGGGGTGGGTACCTGAGCATGCGGACCAGAGCAGGGATGCCGCCCGACTTGAAGATGGCGAGCAGCCCCTCCCGGTGGTGGGAGAGGTTGTGTAGGATGCTGGTGGTACAGCGGGCCGTGTCCAGGTCACTGGTATTCTGCATGGTGCGCACAACAGCGGCCACCAGCTGGGGTGAGCCCATGAGGGCCCGCCGCGATGCCTCCTTCTTTGATAGCTGGTTCACAATCATGGCCGCCTTAGTCACCACCACCTGGAGGGCAAAGGCAGGTGCGGGGACGTGAGCACTAAGGAGGGGCTGGGACACCCTTCCACAGAGCTGAGGAGGGCCCCAGACTCGTCACATACAGGGGAGTCCGGGTCATAACCTTCCTCCACCCCTACAAAATGTCCCTCCCCTGAGGACATCTGCTCTCTCCCCTCCCTGCTCAGCCCCCACCCTAGCCGGGACCCTCACAGACCGGGTCCTCGTCGTTGAGCAGCTTGGTGAGCTCGGGCAGGGCTCGAGTGGCCAGCTCAGCGTCGTCCTGGTAGTTGATGAGATGCACGATGGCCGACTTGAGCAGCTGGGATGGCTCGGCCAGTCGCTGCAGGTTGGTGGCCTGCCCCTCCACCTGGGTGGCCAGCAGCAGCGAGCTGTCCTCGCCTGACACGCCAGGGCACATGGCCTCCCGCACCCGTTTGGCTCTGGCTGTTGTGGACATCTGGTACTCCAGGTCACCTGGGGGCCATGGGGACAGGGACTGAGTGCGGGCAGTGGGCTGGGCAGACACTGGGGAGCAGGGCAGGCTGCAGACAGCCCCACCTCGGCCCTCTGGGCTACCTTTCACCCTGCCCAGAGCCCCAGCGCATGACTGGCCATTCTACCTCTCCCCAGGGACCTTGGGGAAGTCACCATCACCTCAGTAACCTCATCTGTAAAATGGGCCCCACATGTTATGTCCATCATGGGAATTTTTTTTTTGCACACTTATTATGTGCCTGGCAGTGAATTCAGTGCCCTGCTATTTTCTCATATAATCTGACAATGACCCTGCAAGGTAAGTACTATCATTGGCTCCTCTTTACAGATGGGAAAACTGGGCACAGAGGGGTTATAAGGCAGCCTGACTCAGGGGTCCAAACCCCTACTCCATTCTCCGCCCTTACCCATCAGGTCTCTTTTCAACCCTGAAATCTCAGGAGTCTAATTAGACCCTCATCATCCCCAACAGCGGCAATCCTCCCACTATACAGGCAGGCAAACAGAGGCCCAGAGAGCCACCAACATCACATCTCACAGCAGATCAGAGGGAAAGTCAGGGCTGTGGGTTCAGGGAGCCAGGAGCTGAGTCCTCAGCTGAGACGTCAGGTTCCTCTCTAACTTCCTTCCTCCCCCTGGGTGGGTCTGGGAGTCCCACAGGTAGATGCCCAAGCAGCCACACCCTGGCAACTGTCCTGATGCCCCCAGGGAGAGGGACGCAGAGGTTCCACCCTCTAATTAGTTGGGAAGGAGGAGACAGCTGCATGGCTTTCCCACCTGGATGCTGTACTTTTTGCTACCAACACAGTGCCTGGCCCTGCCCAGCCAAGAGGCCCCGTACTCCCCCTACCAGCTGTCAGGGAGAAGACTGGCGTGCAGGGGCTGACTCCGTAGAGCCCCACCAGCTGCAGTCCACCCTCACTACTCCCAGAGCCCAGAGCCCACCTCATGGCATGTTCAGGGCCCTGGAGGCACCTGTGGTCAACAGTTCTAGGGCCTGGCTACTCCTCTCCCCCAGAGGGGCAGGGGAGGCTTGGGCTGGCGGGGCACCCCCAGCCAGGACTAAGCCCCAGAGCTGAGTCAGTCACTGGTCCCACAGCCTCGGCCTATCTGCATGTCAGCAGCAGAGGACTGGTCTCCCTCCCAACGAGGGGCCCTCAGGCTTGAGACCTACACCTCCTCTACCCGAAGGAGAAACCCTGGGGGGTTCCTAGGGGCTAGGGCCCTGGCTCTCCCATCAAACGTGAGGCTCCTAGAGCCAAAGGGCTGTGTCCTCCCTGCCATCCATGGGCTTCCTGAGAGCCATAGTGATGCCTCCTCATCAGATTCTTATTTTTTTATTATTATTATTATTTGAGACGGAGTCTCGCTCTGTCACCCAGGCTGGAGGGCAGTGGCATAATCTCAGCTCACTCCAACCTCTGCCTCCTGGGTTCAAACAATTCTCCTGCCTCAGCCTCCCTAGTAGCTGGGACTACAGGTGCATGCCACCACACCTGGCTAATTTTGTATTTTTAGTAGAGACGGGGTTTCACCATGTTGGCCAGGCTGGTCTCGAACTCCTGACCTCAGGTGATCAACCCACTTCAGTCTCCCGAAGTGCTGGGATTACAGGCGTGAGCCACCGCGCCCAACGTCCTCATCAGATTCTTATATTCACAGAAGACAAGGACTGTGCCTCTTCCTTCAGACTGGAGGCACCCTGAGGGCAGGGAATATGCCTTCCCTCCCTACCTTCCCTCTTCACAGAAGAGGATTCTGTGACCCTCCCAGATGCAGCACCCTGAAGTAGCTGCACCTCCTCCTTCAGACTGGGTGGGCCCCCTGTTAATATGAGCTGTACCTCCTCCCTCAGACCAGGGACCCCCTAGAATCTGCCTTCTTTCACTCTGACCTCTCTCCAGGACCCAGGCAGGTTTTCTACCCCATGGAATAGTTCCAAGGGGTCCTGACCTTGGCTGGGGGGCACCCCCTGGGTGTAGGTGGTGGTCTTCTTGAGCGTGTACTGGCGCCCGCAGGCCTCATCCTCCTCCATGATGCCCTTGCTGCTGACAGAGGGCACGCAGGTGTTGGCGCCCGAATGGATACCCGAGTCGTAGGTATACGTCTGCTGCCACTCCGTCACCTTGATAGGCTGCTCCATCAGGTTCATCACCTCCATTGTGGCTACTGGGGGCACAAAGGAGAAAGTCAGGAAGCAGGAAGTCACCTGGCCCAGCCCCCAGCTTCAGCCCATCCCAAGTCCTGCCTGTCTTGCCATGTAATCACCATGGCCCCAGGGGTTTCAATGAGGATGCAGGCTGGGGCTGAGTGGGTGCCCAGGAGGGTAACAGGCTCGGGGAGGCGCTGCCCATGATGAGATACCCTGGGAGCAGTGAGCCCCAGGGGTGCAGCTGTGTGTGTGTCCTGGGCTTGCATCTCTGACCTCTTAGGGGGATGAGCCCCAGGGGGCAGGGCAGTAAAGGGCCAGCTGCTGCCAGAAGCCCCGGTTCACTCACCTTGCTGCCCTGACCCAACTGTCTCAGGGGCAAGAGAAGGCACCCAGGACCTCTAGCAGCTTCTGAGGTCCCCTGGGCCCACCCTCAACCACTGGGGCTCCCTGGGAAAGGCTGCAGGGAGGAGGCACCCCAGTCATTGGGCAGGAAACTGGGTGGGGCAGGGAAGCGGTCTGACAGGTTTCTCTGGAATGCCCCAGGCTCCCTCAGAGACTCCAGGATCTGGCTTTCCTACAGATTGGGCAGGATCACTCGTGGCCCTGAGGCCGAAGCCCTAAGACCCCTTCTCTCCCAGCCCTCCCAGCACCTAGAAGCCTCTCTGAGTCCCACAGAGCGGTTCAAATCTCAGCTACTCACTACTGGGGCAGTTCACCTCCCCACAGAACCTCAGTGTCCTCATCTATAAAGCGGGGTCACACGACCTCCCTCAGAGGTGGTTGCAAGGACCTGGTGCATAGCCGGTGTTGAGAGGCCACGGCCATTACCATCAGCACCGCCTCTCCTCTGGAAGTGCTTCCTCACCTCCTGGTCTCCTCGAGCCCAGGCTAGGGATCTGAGGTGGGGCAGGCCTGTGGGTGGTCACTGCCGTCAGGAACCCCTCTCTCTCTCTGCAGAGGTTTAGGTGCACCTGAAGGTTAATGAGTAGCAGGGCCGTACTGTGTACCAGGGAGGTGAACTTCCCGCTTGGTCTATGTTTGGCTTCACTGTCCTGGGAACTGACCTGCAGAGGTCAGCGGCTGCGGGGAGAATGGACGCCATGATCCCATGAGGGCCTACTATGAGCCACACCTCTCACAGACACCGTCATGCTCACGGGCGGGTTTCAAAGCGCATGCACTGTTCCCCCGCATACAGATGCAGGAATTGAGGTTAGAAATGGCAGAGCTGGGACTGGTACCAAGTACAGGTGTGAGGGCACCGAGGTCTGTGGTCTTTGCACATCCCAGCGCAGCCTCAGTGAGTAAGCAGAACTCAGGCTGGTCCACCCATGAAGCCAGGCAGCACCCGGGTTGTCTCACTGTGATGGGGACCAGGGGAGGGTGGAGTGGCTGGGGCAACCTGGCCCCACCCCAGGAACAAAGATCACCAAGGATAAGTCTTCCCTGTGACAGCCCCAATGCCGCCCTCCAGGAGGATGACGAATGGTCCTGCAGGTCTCACAGCCTTTTATGGCAGGCAGCCGTGAGCACACCTGGAACAGGCAGAGGCAGGGGCCAGGCTGGCTCCCAGCTGCCTCCTTCCCCTCCTCCCGCCATCCCTAGTGACTCAGAGTTTCAGGCTGATTAAATAGAAGCAGTCTGGCAACCCCAGACGGCAGACCCCAAACAGCAGGCTCAGGCCACCAGATGTGCACAGCTGCTTCCCAGGCATTTGAAAGTGTAGCTAGTTCAGAAGGAGCCCCCCCCAACCAGTGCCCTTTCCACACGCAACCCTTCCCCAGCAGCAGAGGGGAATGGCCACCGGCAGGAAATGGGGGGCAGCGTTGGGTGGCGGGGGTCAGAGTGCTCGGAGAAGGCAGACATGGGAAAATCCTGCTAAAATCCTGAGCTCCAATTCCAGCACTTTGGGAGGCCGAGACGGGCGGATCACGAGGTCAGGAGATCCAGACCATCCTGGCTAACACGGTGAAACCCCGTCTCTACTAAAAAATACAAAAAAAAAACTAGCCGGGCGAGCTGTAGTCCCAACTACTCGGGAGGTTGAGGCAGGAGAATGGTGTAAACCCGGGAGGCGGAGCTTGCAGTGAGCTGAGATCCGGCCACTGCACTCCAGCCTGGGTGACAGAGCGAGACTCCGTGTCAAAAAAAAATCCTGACCTCCTCCTGCTGTGCCGCCTTCCCCAACCATTTCCCTGCCCCAAGGGGGAGTCCCAAGAAAGAGCAGCGGAGAGCTTGGAAGAGAAGCTGCCCCCGGGAGGGAAGGAAGGTGTAAGTGTACCAGTAAACACGGTGGCAATAACCTGCTGAATGCCGCTCTGCTGGGCTCAAGGCTAAGCGACATCTGGACACTGCTGGACATCTGCAGCTCTGGTCCACAAACACACTGCATCCCAGCCAGAGGGCCCTCCTCCATAGACAGTGCCTAACCCTGGGGCTTCTCAGCTAAAGGAGAAGGAAGCGGGCCTCACTCCAAACAAGGGTCATCCCTTGCCAGCCTCACGTCTAAAGGGACCACCACAGTCAAGCCGAGGAACTTCCTCAGCAGGCCCCTCACCACCCCCACCAGCCCAGGTGGACCGTCAGGAGACTGCTGAGGGCTGGACAGCTACCCAGGGAGAGACAGAGGCCACAGGATGCCATGCGGGTGGGGGGTGAGGGTTCCCATTGGCCTTTATTATTATATGAATCTTGTTCTTCCCTCAAAGCAACCTGGCAGATGTTTTATTATTTCCAATTTCTTTCTTTCTTTTTTGAGACAGAATCTCTCTGTCGCCCAAGCTAGAGAGCAGTGGCACGATCTTGGCTCACTGCAACCTCCACCTCCGGGTTCCAGCGATTCTCCTGCCCCAACCACCCAAGTAGCTGGGACTACAAGTGTGCACCACCACGCCTGGATAATTTTTGTATTTTTAGTAGAGACCAGGTTTCACCACATTGGCCAGGCTGGTCTTGAACTCCTGACCTCAGATGATCTGCCCACTTTGGCCTCCCAAAGTGCTGGGATTATAGGCATGGGCCACTGCGCCCGGCTTTATTCCCAATTTCTAGGTGAAGAAGCTGTGCCTGCACACTGAGAAAATGGCAGCACTCATGGTAGGAACAGCATCCAATCCACTAGACAAGAGTGGAGCGGAGCCCTCTTGCCAAGGGGACCAAGGTGCTTGCAGATGGAAGCAGAGCACCCAGCTGCAAATCAAGAGTACCAGGTTCAGGCTGGGTGCACTGGCTCACGCCTGTAATCCCAGCACTCTGGGAGGCCGAAGCGGGCAGATCACGAGATCGGGAGTTCATGACCATCCTGGTCAACATGGTGAAATTCTGTCTCTACTAAAAAGTACAAAAATTAGCCAGGCGTGGTGGTGCACACCTGTAATCCCAGCTACTCGGGACGCTGGGGCAGAAGAATTGCTTGAACCAGGGAGGTGGAGGTTGCAGCGAGCCGAGACCACGCCACTGCACTCCAAGCCTGGGTGACAACAGAGCAAGACCCTGTCTCAGAAAAAAAAAAAAAAGAGTCCCAGGTTCTAGTCCCAGCTCTGCTACAAACTTGCTGGGTGTCCTTGTGTCCCTCGATCTCAAAGGAATGTTATGTCTAAGACTCTAGGAATAAAAAACCAGGATTCCCACGACAGACAGAAGGCTGGGGGTGGGCAACGTCAGAGTTGGGAACCAGTTCTGGGAGAGGACACACTCCGGAACTCCTCCTGAGGAAGGAGTCAAGGGAGCTATTCCTGCAACAGGAAGGCTGGAAGTCAGACCTCAGGCAGGACTGTCAACCAGCCCCACCCTTCTCCTTACCTACTGCCCAGGAGAACAAGGGAACTTCTCCTACAAGAAACAAAAGTGCTGGTTTTACAGTTCCCAGGGTGGAGGGGGCCGCACCCAGTTCAGTCTTGTCCCTCTCCACCCTGGACATGGAGTCAGACCTTCCGCAATGCCCCTGGACAGAGCCAGGGTGGAAGCGAGAGAGACAGACGTGGGCCCTGCCCACTCGCCCCAGCCAGAGATGGGCAGGGACAGAGACAGGGCGGGTTTCTGAGTTGAATGGGGGGCCTTTGTTTAGAGCCTGCTCTATTGTTAGCAGCCTGGGAGGAAGAAGCCAGATCAGAGACTGTAGGGACAGCCCAAGGACAGGAAGAAGGAAGACGGGCCCTGGAGAGGGGATGCAGAGGACCCTTCCCCACAGGGCCCACATCAGGTAAGTGTGAGCAAGTAATAAGGCTAGACTGGGTGCACCCCTACCCTTCATTCCTACCTCCTCCTCTGCACAGCCAACCTAGAGGGCTGGCACCAGGCACCCTAAATCCAAGACTGACCTGGCAGAGTGTGGCCCAGCCCTGACATTAAAAATAGCCCAACCAGAGCTACACCAGGCTCCTTCCCCAGCCAGCACCTGCCAAGGACAGTCAGCAACAGGCACATCTAGGCTGGGCTGCAGGGCACCAAAGTGCCAAGACACCTGGAAATAAGGACAGGAATGGGTTACCCCAGAGGCCATGCTGGAAGCAGGCTCAGAAACACTGCATTTGGGGACAGAGGAGCAGGGCGGAGCAGGGCAGGGCTGGGTCCCCCTGAGGTTCCTTAGGCTAGAGGCCAGCACGCTTTGCAGACACAGGTCCCCAGGCTCAGACAGCGACAAGGTGAGCACAGGATTTCCCAGGCTCAGACAGCGACAGGGTGAGCACGGGGTTCTGAGTGAGGAGAGGGGCTCGATTTCCTTAAGCCTCATTTTCTTATCTGTAAAATGGAGATTATCAAGTGACTTCTTTCATCGCTGTGACTCTGGAAGCCCTCTGTCCACGGGAAAGGCATGCATTCATATACTAGAAGAACAAAGAGATGGCAGAGGAGGCGGAAGCCAGCTGGAGCAGTAGTTCATGCCTATAATCCCAGCACTTTGGAAGGCAGAGGTGGGAGGGTGGTTTGAGCCCAGGAGTTCAAGACCAGCCTGGGCAACATAGTAAGACCCTGTCTCTACAAAAAATAAAAATAAATTAGCCGGGCATGGTGGCAC